TGGGAGAAATTAAAAACTTTTTCTATTGTTACCCACCTGCTATTCTTGAGGCCACTGTCCTATCTTTAATTTGTCCTCAAATCTCTGTCTCTAGGATCTACAAATCTTCCCATATCTGAAAAATGGAGATAACAATGGTATCTACATAATACAATTATTATAAAGATTGACGGAAACCCTACCCCAAAGCAGTCAGCACAGTACCTGGGACCTCATTGCCACTCAATACACACAGCTGTTAGGACCATGGTCATTACTGCTAGCATCTCCTGAGAAGATATGGCCAGCCTCACTGGATGAAGCTAAAAACTAGGAGATCCCACACAGGAACAGCATCCAGAATGGTCTCTCCCTAGCACTGCCTCCTCTTGGCTCAGCTCCCAGTTATGAAGCTAGGTGAGAAGAGGGTGGGATGAGCTCTGGTTAGTGGCAGAGGGGCCAGGGGTCATCACTTCTCACAGCCAGGCTATGGGCAGAGTTTGATCCAAGATCTAAACAAGGGTCCTGAGGGAGCCACCTGAATGCCACTCCAGAAACATTAGACCTTTCAGAAAGGTAGTGGAAGCTCCTAATATATCTAGGACCCTTTCCATATTCATGGTCCAAAGTACATGAAATGATCCAAGGGATTTCTGGCACCTGGTTAAAACTAAGCAAATTAATTTATCCCACACCAGGGATACATTCTAACAATGAACAGCCTTTGTTTCCTCCAGGGTCACGACACAGCCATGTAAAGGCATCTCCTTGTACCCAAGCGAGTAAGAGGGTGACAACCAAGACATGAGTTTGTCTCTATTCTTCCCATCTTCTCTTGGAAAGAAAGGAACTATGAAAAAGAAAACTAATTTCACAAACACAAGGAGAGAGATTTATTGCTCATGATGACAGGAGTCTGAGCTCAGTCCTAGAAGAACATACAGTTGGTGTGAGATGACTCACATCAACTTCCCATCCTCCCCAAGCCTGATTTCTGCATACAAACAGACAGGTTCTTGGTGAAGTATCTTTGGAAGGTGAACTCATCACAAGACAACCAATCCCTCACTGCCACAGCACTCATTCAAGTGAATTGTCCCTTACGAGGTCCCAGGGTTCTGAATTCTCTTCAGGAAAAGGCCTAAGGAAGAGCTAGAATAGTTGCAGGACGGTTAAAAAAGGCAAATTCTGACTGTGTAGGACTAGAAACTGAGCTTGATATGTGGATTCAGGAATCCCAAAGCCTCTCCTGTACAGGCTTTATTTTCAAGCTTCCTGAAATGTTTTCACCCAGCCCAGCTGTTCACCACAGTTGGAGCATTAAATGTAGAGCCTTTCACTGGATTAATGTCAAGTAAGTGACCTTGACGCTGAAACTCTTGGCGTTTCTATGTGTTATACCTGAGAAGACGATGTTCCATTTGATAAATTACCAAAATGAGGTAGATAATTATTCATTAGGGAATAATGAAGTCAAGGGGCAAATATTACAGACTGTAAAGAGAGTAATATCAACATTTACCTAAAGGTAATTATAGCAGAATTGGTCATTGCTAAAGTAGTAATGCCTTTCTCACTTACCTAGGGTTTTAACGCCTACAGCTAAGTAGTAATGAAAACACCCAATCAATTGACTATCTGGGGTTTTGTCTACAGGATGCTGATATAAATGCTCTTATTGGTTTTGAAGCAGTTTTAGAGGTTTAGCGAAAATTATGAAATGCATCTTTTCAAGATACATGGCGAGTGGGTGACAGGCCTAACTTCTTAGCTAAAAAAGAGATCAGAGAGATGTAGCTGCTCCCAGGACTATAATTTGTTCACTCTACAGAGCAAGCAGAGAGCATTGCCACTGTGATCCCTCCAAATCGATACTGGGGAAAATACCCTGTACTGCTTGAATTGGACTGTCTAACAGCCTCATCCATTGAGTCACTGCTCCTCTTCTGTCCAGTGTTGAGAATGTTTGTATGAAAAGGGAGATACTCCTGTTAGATTCACTTATACATATTGATTTGGCTCCCTGCTTCTTTGCAAGCAAACAAAGTATCCAGTGGTACTTTCGGTCTAGGACAATGGAGGGTGAACAGCTGCTTGTCACTAGGAAGCCTCTATAAAAGTGAATGTCTATCATAATCTAAACCTGAGAGGCCAAATGGGCTCTGAACCAGAGCAATTTCATTTCATACGCAGTCACGTTTGGCAGTATATGCTGGTAGATACTTACCAACCAGCTCTCTGTGGGGAAAAAGCCTGATTTACATATCATTTGCTGCTGTTCATGGTATTAAAAACTCCCACCATGACTGATTTCGAGCTATCCACATGACATCTCTGATCACAGCATCGGGAAGGGACATGGTTGGTTCCCCCAAACAGATATGAGCATACCCCTAACAGCAATGGGAAGATGTCAGAGCCCCCTCACAGAAGCTACATCTAAGTCTCCATGGAAACTCTGAAATTAGAGAAAACTAGGCCAGGCTGAGTTGTTTCTAAATGAGGAGTAAAGAGTTAATAAGACAACATCTTTTCAAATAAACATGCAAATATTTCTCTGCCTTTGATTGCTGGGGCTGCCTGGCAGTGCAAGCCAACAGACTCTTCCTGGTTGCTCCTGTTGGACTGTGACCTTCCTGCAGTGCCTCCCAAGTTAGGACACGCAGATCTGGAAGGACAGAATGAGCCATCTGATTTACTGCACCCTGGAGGAATCACTTAGATTTGAAGGTTGAGATAATTGTTCTTCACATTCACAAATCAACTGAAATGGTAAACAAAAATGGGATGTGCAAAAAGCATGGCCTACTCACCTTGGTTTTTATTAAATCAAGATGGGGGGTGCTAATGGATTTGGCTTGTGTATCATAGTTACAACATTTTATAAAAATTTCATTCTCATCATTAGCATAGAGCACTCTCTTGATAACTTGGTCAGCTTGTAGATGTATAGAAATGAGGCTAGCAAATCACCAGGGTAATGGAACCTAATGACTTCAAACCTAGTGCTTGGGGTAGTTCTTGCCCATCCATCTCATAGGATGTATGGACAAGATATATACGACAAGTTGCAAATTTCAGGTCACGAATAGGAAGAAGGGGAAACCAATCAGCCGCCTTCCTCCTACTTTTACTTAGGTCCAACAGTTATGACATGTAAATAAAAAGGTGACTTTCTAGTCAGACTTCAAAGAGCCTAAGAATTGTATCACCTGCCTATTTAAGCCATTTTCATGCTCAGATTGTCTAAATTAACATTAGTCTTTTTAAAGGGGAGAGAGACAAAAGTTGAATCCAATTTACCATTTCTAAGACAACTGGTCAGCAGAAAAAAAAATTGGTAAACATTTTCCCTTGGACCTCCAAGCCCAAGAGTACCATATGAACACAATTTACTTAGTACCAGTTGAACAATATTTGGGTTAAAGCAGCCACCACTATCAAGTGGAGAAGAGTCCCATGTGAAATCTGGGGCCAAATGATCACTGCCATCTTCATGTCCAGCATGATTAAAACATCCCAGGGAGACCACACTCTTCTCCACAGAGAGGTCAACATCCAGTGGTTAGCAAGCATATGGACACCATGCTCCCCCTTGTGCCTACCACCAGCACCCTGTGTCATTGATAGTGACTGGACATAGTGTCATCCTCTGGGGAGTCTCTGGGGAGTCTCTGGGGAGTCTAGGAGCTCAAAGAACTTTTTAGAAAGAAAGGTCAGAGCACAGCCCACAGTCACCTTTGGTGATGAATAAAGACAGTCCAATATCTACCCTTGAGGACCAGGAAGCAGGCTCCAGAGCCCCTACAGGCCAGGGAGCCAGAATCACAGGCTTGCCAGTGGGGTGGTGGTTGATGATGCCCGTCCAGCCCTCTCTCCCATCTTCTCACCAGTTGTCTCATTCTATTTTCTCCAGCAAAAAAAAACTCGGAGACAGGCAAAATGTTCTGGCTGTGAGAGTCACCTGTGAGGCCCGAGGAGCGGATGGAGCGTCTGTTGAAGATCCTGTTCAGAATTTCTTTGCAGCTTTTGCGGTATTGGTGTCGCAGTAAGGAGTACACAAAAGGGTCAGAGGCAGCCTTGCTATAGGCCAAGCACTTGGACAGCACTCCCCAATGGGAGCCAATGGGCACTGTGGAGAACAGCTCCACCAGCCTGCAGGAGAAGGGGAAGCCATTATTGGGAGCACAGCTGGGCACTACCAGGGCTTCTAGTCTGTGGCCCAAACCCCAGCTTCCTGGGCCAGCCATGATTTCTTGGAAACCACCTCTTCAGGTAATGACAACACTAATAATTCAAACCAGTAATGAAAATGACTATCAGTGTTCATCGGGCACTATGCTAAACACGGTGCTTACCAAGCACTTTAACATGTGTGATATTTTTTGTTTGTATTAAAAAAAAATTTTTTTTTTAAGATTTTGGCCTTTAGGGTGTGTGTATATGCTCACTAGAGAAAAACAAAGAAGGAAAGTGAGAAATCACCCTCACTCCAGGGGAGATGGCCATACCACATTCCCTTCTCCATTCTCCTCTCAGGATTTTGGGCATGCACTCATGCAAACAGTGTGATTTTCAGTTAATGGGTTCAGGATTCGAAACATGGTCGGCCATGTGGGAATTCAGTGCCTTAACCAAGACGCCACCTGCTGACCCCCATGTGTGATTTCATTGAACCCAGGGCTATATGACTATCTCCACTTTATGTGCAAGGAAATAGATGTGCCAGAGGGTTATATATTTTGCCCAAGGTTACCTGACCAGTATTGCCCAGGGTTACCTGACCAATATTTTGTAAAGGCTAAGTTTGAACCCAGATCTTTCTGACTCTAAAATCCAAGCTTAACTAAGAATGGGACTAATAGTTTATTGCTGGCTATCCTGGCTTCTTTTTTTTTTTTTAGAGGTTTTTGCCGTAGAACGCATGTGCTCGCCAGAAAGACAGAGAGAGACAGAGAGACAGAAAGTGAGAAATCACCCCCCAGGGGGGATGGCCACATCACAATCCTTTCTCCTCCATTCTTTTCTTGGGATCTTGGGCACGCACACACATGCGCCTAGCATGAGTTTAAGCTACTGGATCTGAGACTCTAACCGCAGTTGACTGCATGGAAGTCCAGCAACATAGCCATTACGCTAACTGCTGGTCCCCCTGACTTTTGGTTTTAACTTGGCTGCTGGCCTGCTATGTGACCCTGGGCGAGTCTTTTCATTCCTTGAACCTGAATGTCTTATATGAAAATGTCTTATATGAAAATAGGGGTGGTCAAATAAGATCACCCCTATTTTTCAACTAGAAGAGTCTGGCCTTATTCTTTACTTCAAATCCTACTTCTTCCTTCATAAGGAGGTTACACAGGAGGAAGGACTAGAATAAATTAATAAATATTCTGTAACACTATGGGTTGGGGGGAATCTTCAAAAGTTCATGGAAAGTGTGTATCATGAAAAAAACTCTACATGGATTTCAAATATTTTTACAGCATTAAAAAAAAAAACCCTCATACTTTAGTTCCATTTTTCCATAAATGTTTTGAAGTTCCTTAACAAATCTTACACCAGGAAAGAATCTACTGGTAAGAAAGTCCTCTTCTCAGGTTTGGGATTCTGGTGGTCTTTGACAATAGAAGACTGTGTACCTGAAAGTGACCCTCAGTCTTTGGGTAAGGAGAAGGGGAAAACACAGTCCATATGTCAAAGAGGCACAGTTCTTTGAATCCTCCTAGGAATCATCCGACAACCCCATCAGTGGGGCTGATGCCAGACTGTGAGGCTAAGCCCTCCACTGGCTAGATGGAATCCCCAACTGCCCAGTCAAGCTACTTATTTTCCTTCTCTCGTGTACCCAGCACCCTTGGCCATACATGGACATTATTCAACATTCAAAGGTAGAAAAGACCCACCGAGTTCTCCTTCTACCCATTGTCAAATGAGAACATTGAAGTACAAGAGGGAAAGGGACTGCTCAACACTGCACAGCAAATCAGTGGCCAAGAAAGGTTCATGCCTGTACTATTTTTTTCTAATTTTATTTAGTATTATCATAATCTTGTTTATATTACATTGAATCACATATATTGTTACAGTGTCTTCCATTTCTTTTCCTTTTTTTTTTTTTGGTGACAAACACATTTTATTTTATTATTTATTTAGTTATTTATTTTTGCTTTTCAAGTTTCACTTTCATTTCTTTTCTTTTCTCTTTTCTTTTCTTTTCTTTCTTTTCTTTTCTTTTCTTTTCTTTTCTTTTCTTTTCTTTTCTTTTCCTTACAGTGTCTTACATTTCTTCGCCCCATATTCTGACTGGCGGTCTGGTACCTGCATTCTACCTGGGTATCTGCAGAATAGAAGGCAGTGGTGGCTCTCAGCTTAGCAAGCTGCTCAGGTTAAGACTCAGGCATAATCATAACTGAGTCTGAGCCATACCTCAGTGTTACAAACTTGAGCTGATTTTCCGGACGCCTTCTTGGAGCTGAGGATGTGGGGGCAGGCTGCAGGGCCAGCAAAGGAAGGAAGCGGAAGCTGTTGGGTGTGATCCTCCATCGAAATGCGCCTTTCTCAAGTACATCCTTAATGAATCCATTCTGAAGGCCCTCTGTCTGGCTTTCCATTTTCAGCACCACTGTCTGGACTTGCCTTCTGACTCTGAGGGGGAATGTGGTTACCTTTCCTTTCACATCTCTGAGAGCCTGAATGGGGAAATGGGGCTATTAGCATTTAGAAAGTCTGTACTTTTAAGAAATCTATTTTGAGAAGTGGTTAATTTAAAGGGACAAAAAAGTTGAATTTAGAATTCGCACCTAATAATAACAATGAAGTAGCTAAATGCCAACACTTTGTTGCTATGCGATACCAAATTCCTTTTCTAAAATGTTTAGTCCTCTATAAATTCAGTTGTAGCATACGGGCTCTCCCAAAAGACTTTATTAAAAGAGCAAAATATCTTCAAACCATCCAGTAAGATCAATGCTATTATTTTCAAAATTTCACAGAATAAGATTATTCAGAGCAGTTTAAAATTTCAGTAATTATTGGCTCAGTAATTATTCCCAGTTAGAGTCTCCTTTGGGGCAAGCATTTGAAGTGCACAATCTCTAATCTTATAATTATCCTGCAAAATTGGTATGATTATACTCATTTTACAGATGAGGAAACTGAGGTTGAGGGAGGTTGAATAGCAAGCCAGGGTCTCCCACAAGGGAAATCCAGTTCCATCTAACTATAGTTGACTTCCTGGCTAGTGGCCATGCTGGAATTAGAATCTTAACATTACAGATTGGACAAGATGGAAGCCTCACCAACCCCAAGACCCCCTTTCCCATGAGGTCATTAGATATTATCCAGGACTTTTGTCATTTGCCTCCTCCCCCCACCCCACCTAAGTTCACAAGGCAACATCTGCTTTGAAAAGCTGGGAACCAGCAGATGGTGTAATGGTTACATCACTGGACTCCCACGTAGTTGACCATGGTTTGAGTCCTGAATCTGGTGACTTAAAACTCACGCTAGGCGAAGTCCCTGTAGGAGAAGGAATTGTGGATGGTTTCTCTGGTGAGTGCACGTGCCCTATAGCAAAAATCTTTCTTTCTTCTTTCTTTCTTCTTTCTTTCTTTCTTCTTTCTTTCTTTCTTTCTTTCTTTCTTTCTTTTTTTTCTTTCTTTCTTCTTTTTTTTTTTTTTAAAAAAAGGAGGAGAAAAGCTGTCTGGCCTTTGTCTGGGTCTCTAGGAAAAGAGACTCTCTGGATGAGTGCAGGCCTGGACATTTGCTCTTCACTAGCCAACAGGGAGCTCCCTCCCCTATCCTACTCAGATGTGACTGGCTGAGTCGTCCTCAGTTTTTCCTGTGTGCATGGACACCCTGTGCCTGCCATGCCTGGCTTTACTCCATCCTATGTCTGACAGTTTCAAGTCCCATTTGTTTATGGGGACCGAGTAGAGACAGGATTTTCACATTACTTTATCTGCTTCTTTCTAATTCCAGATCTGGGCAAGTGTTAGATGACCGTAAGCCCTTTCAGGGTGACCTTTTAGAGAGGAAAGTTTTCAGCCCCTCTTTCTATGCCAGGTCTAGCTGTTCTCTCCTCCCATCCCTTCTAAGAAAGGGGCATTGCTCTGATCAGTCACTCTTTACAAATGCGCAGGTCTCTGTGTGTTGAATGGTGCCTGCCATGCTCCGCCTCTTCTGTTTCTTTCCTCCCTTTCTTCTCCATGTGGAGAGGAAACTCTTATGCTTAATTCCCCACTCCTGGCCCTACCCTCCTACCCTGGACCCAGCAGTCAGAGTTAATTGATGGTCTGGAGACTTGGACAGGGGTCAACTTGCAGAGCTGACATCTCTAGTGTAAGCCTGTCTCCTGCCTGGTTCTGCCTCAAGAGTCCTGGGTTTAGGGGTCACTGGGCTCAGTTATTATTAAAGTGGGACTTTGTTTCTTTTTGTCATGACCCCTGTAATGGTTTGAATCATGTCTCTCACAAAATTCATGTGTCGAAGTCCTGACCCCCATCTCAGAGTCTGATCTTATTTGGAAATAAGGTTGCCGCAGATGTAATTAATTAAGGTAAAAATAGAGTAGGGTGGACCACTAATCAGCATCCTCACAAAAGAGGGAAATTTGGACACAAGCACATACACACTGAGAGAAAGACAGAGGCCAACAGGCCAAGGAACACCAAGGATCACCAGTGAAAACAAGAAGCTAGGGCAAAGGCGTGGAACAAATATTCCCCCAAAGCCCTACCAACTCCTGATCTCAGACTGCTGGGCCTCAGAACTGTGAGAGAATATCCTTCTGTGGTTTAAGCCACTTACTCTGTGGCACTTTGTTACAGAAGCCCAAGCAAACTAAGTCACCCCTAAAATACCTCATGGGTATAGAGTTGTTGTTAGGTTGTTCTGGGGGTACTCGGCAGGGATGTAGAGGTGATTGTTAGGTTATTTGGTTGTTCTGGAATCCCTGGTCATGACATCAAAATGGCACCAGGCTGCTACCCCACTCCTAGGCCCCCCTGTATCAACTAAGGACAGCCCTGGAGATTTGCCAAAGCATTAGTAGCCACAGGAGCAGGGCACCACCTCCCCCCTTCCAGGAAGCAGGGCTTGTCCCCACAAGCCTTGCTCCTTGCTGCCCACTGTGACCTTCCATTAAGCACCAAGGT